GCAAAAATGAGTATATTAGTTATCTTCCAGGACCCACTCTGGTTATGTAACCCACATGGGGTCCCGACCTCAAGATTGAGAAACACGGTTGTAAGGCCAGAGGGTGCACAGCACACTAAGAAATGACTGATGTTCTATGGTTTGTAAGCCCGTCATCCACCCTAATAACCTCTATGGATAAATGCAGCGCTTTATTGACTAAGAAAAATGTTTTTTTCAGGCGAAACTGAAACTTTTCAATTTGAGCTGTGTGCCATCTTCATCTACTCTTAACCAGTAACATATACACTTATTTACACATCTGAACAAATCTCACAAGTGGTATCTTTATTATAACATCAAAAGTATTAAAATAGACCTTGTAGTTGCAGAAATAGACTCTTTTATGCAATTTTCGAGCAGAGGCCTAAAAATAGGGCTAGGATCCAGAAGGGTTTTTTAAAGGCTACGCTTGACTAATTCCTCATCATTTTAACTTATCTTCAAAGTAGTACCGTTTGTGACATAAACAGAATAAAAATACACAAATGGAAAAACAGCTCAACAGACTGTCTTGTTTTCTCTTGTTTTTGTCTTTTTTTTGTCATATTTAATCCAATAAGAACTGACTCATTAAAAACAAATGACTTGCAATATGCATAAACAGTTTGATAATTCAATTAGATCATTTTGAACATATAAATCTTATAAATCTTTATCTGCCAATTTAGGCAGTAATACTCATAAAACACCTTGTAATTTTGACCAAAGTAATACAACCGTTGTGACAACATTTAACAAGCTCTGATGCGGTCTCAGTATTATTGACCACACTATTTAGATTTGTATCCACATGTGACGTGTCACCATTAAATGGAGATTCAAACTCAGTTAACTCGGGGCGAGCATGGCTCAGCTGTTTTGAAAAAAAACAACTAACCCACGTGAGCCATGGCAACAAGGAGACAAACATTTTAAATTATTTTTCCAGTGAAGCATGGTCATTTTTTTGATGTTGAATTTTCTTTCTTCAAGATCCAGGACAAGATTCATCTGCACTGATTTAATTCACTGGCAGCCAGTTAGCTTAGCACAAAGACTGGCAACAGGGGGAAACAACTGGTCTGACTTTGTCCAAAGGTGAAGATCCAACTCTGTCTCCCCAAACACTAATGAAACTCAGTTGTTTCAGCAAATGCCTCAAAACAACATATTTATGTTCATCAAAGCCCTCCATTGGCTGTCTGGGTGGTAGGTGGGTCAGCAAAACATCAGTTTTCAGAAGTCGTTTTTAATCGTGCCCAAAATCCTTTCACATACAAATGATGTTGCCCTGCTGCTCAGACACTTGCCAAGGCTGTTCATGTTGACTCGAACTCTTACTGATTTAATATGAAAAGCGTTGCCTGTTCTGAGTTCCTTCAGACCACTTTATAATATTTTCCAGTGGACTCCTTTCTGGTATTTTCCCGACAAGCACCAGACAAAGTGCTGCATGAATCAAAGCTAATTTAATATACTGTGTGAAGTTACTGTCAAAGCTACTGTAAGTATTCCATCCTGGAAAATCGACCCTACATACAATAACTGTGTAAAAATTGTTATGTCTTTTCTGTGGTCTGTTTAGCTAATGCATGTCCTCTGGCTGTGTTTTGGTAAACCTCTGTGTTACTGGTAATTTAATGGCCGGTTTTACGTCACCTCAGTGTCACTGTTGCACCATTTTTCTCCCAAGAAAACCTTGCCCTCATCCTGTGTAACCAGCTGTCTTTCAGTTAGAAGCTTAGAAGCCCCAGCGAGTTTTCAGATATCTTATTGACAAGATGTGCAAACTTCTGCTCAGGATTTGGCGTAGTGACAGACACAACATAAAGGCCCTATCCCCCTAAATCCCAAAAGCCCTGAACCCTCAGGGACTTAACTGACATCAGCTGGTATATGATTCAGTGTGAGAGGCTGCAAGGTCTTCAAATACGAATGGGGCAGTACTTTGCAGCGACATATCGAAGTACCTTGATGACACCAAACATGTACAATTGGTTTTACGTTTTTACTCCCTGATTTGAAGATCTTACAGGTTCTTACCTTACGAGACGAGAGGTCTGTGTACGAAAGCCTATGCTTGCATTCCTCTGCTTTCATGTATTTATATGTCCCATCTTAAATCCTTAATGTCAATGTTTATGTGTAAGTTTAATATGCCAGACTGAACACATGTGCCGTACATGTGCCGTTGCGGACTGGGCCACAAAGTCTGCGAGTCCTCAAGACCCACCGTTTAAGTCTGAGGCTTTGATCCCGCTGTATACTCAGTGGAGAGCGAATGTTTTATTTCAGCCTGTTTTGCTCATATATAATGTCGAGTTCTAAGACACTCTTGAATGAGCTCATAAATGCACACTTGCAAGCAATTACAAAGAGTCAAGCACAGACTCAAGCACACTCAATAATGTTAATACCAAAGAGTACTTTTATTATGTGAGTTGAATACATGAAGCCTTACTTGTGAAGTTCCTCTCTGGAGTGTTGTGTGTAATGTGCGTGTGTTCTGTTGGTGCTTCATCGCCATCACGTTTGGGTCTGTGGCCACTGGTTATCCGTCTAGTGGGCCGCGAACCAAACCTTGAATTAAATAAATTACAACGAGCAGCAAATTCATTTCAGGAAAACCGCTTGGACCTTGATCCAGCCTTTTTCATAAGAAACTACTTATCATCACGAATGCTCACACTCTGTTGAAAGCTGTAAACAGTTGCCAGCATCCTGGATTGTCATCAAAGTAACTAGCTGCTCTGCTGCCTGAAGATGAGGCAGTTCATTCATTCATCTTTAGGGATGGGTAGCGTTTAAAAAATGATATCAGTATAATATCAGTACCCTTAAAGTGACACCGATACCACCGGGTATTTTTTTACTGGAGAAGTTTGGATACTATTTGGATTATTTCTGACTTAACCCCCGATACACAGCCCTACTCATCTTTCATTCCCTCTTTTTGATAAAAGTGAATGTCATCATGTATTTGATTAGTTTTTAGTTCTTAAAAAAAAATCTAAACTTGACCTGGTGAAAAGGGAACGAGTTAGAGGCAATAAATGTAAGTTTGAGTTCTGGGGGGATTCCCAAAAAGAACTGTTTGCTATTTCATGTTAATAATAGAATGTTAATGTTTGTTATTTGGCTGAATTCTCCTCTTTCAAGGCTATTGAAATTTTCCGGTTTCCGTATTCAGAAATCTATCCATAGCTGCTTTTATTCCATAATTACAGATGAATAGCTAGTCCGCCATTCAAATACCCGATCCCCCTCCACCTCCGTCATTATCATACATAAACTGCCCTCTTAATATCTCAATTTGTCCCGCTTGACCCGTGTGGCCTTGCCTTACAGGCTCCAGAGAACAGTAACGTCACTGTTCGGAGGCCATGAAATGGGTTAAGTTGCGATGACCCACTTGGACATGATCATCTCTGTCTACTGGTCATGCTAGTTTGTATGTTCAATGTCATGTCACGTGTAAAGTGCCCTCCCTCTCAGTCATCCTCCAGAACAAGACCATGTCTGTGGATCAGTCTGCAGCGGCACTATTTCTGGATAAACTGAAGTTCATACATCCATTGCTCTATTCTCAGCTCCTCATGTTCAGGAGTTATGGGGACTGAAGTTGTTCCCAGCATGCACTGGGCTGAGGCTCACAGCCAAGGGTGTAGGTTTGGTTTTAGTCATGGGGACTAAATAGATTTTTCGAATAATTAAAATAAATAATTTGATAATATGTTCATTCTATTCCCTGCATTTATTTAAAAGTTCACATCAACATTTTAATCAATCTTGCAAATAATGATTAAATTGGTTCTTGTACTTTCCACAGTAATTCTAACAAAGAATTACAAATGCAATGTACAGTAAACTGCTGAATTGTTAATGCACTAATCCAAATTAAAAACTTTCCTGAGGTGGTTCCACTTGTCTTTAAAGCATCTGATACTTTTCTCAGGCCCCATCCATACAGCCCGGACCAATCAAAGGGTTAGATAATGAGTATTGTTGAAATAAACTAGTTTGTATGTCACCCGACGACTTCTCAGGGCACACATGCTTGAAAAAGAAGCTTGAGTTACAGTCTCACCTCCAAACATTTGGCTAATCGATGCAAGAAGTTGGCGTGAACGTCAGACTAACGATTGTGGAAAGTTACAGAAATTGTTGGATGTCGGTGTGGGGTAGGAGATTTCAGATGTTGTTCTGATCTTGGTTCAAGCACACTGATGCCTTAAAGGGTAACTTTGAAGCTGATTTCTGCATTGTGGCCCCCGTGAAAACAAATCAAGTTGTTTTGTTGTTGTTTTGCGCAGTGAAATCTCCTTTTGCATCAGTTAGGTGAGTACCTTAAAGTCGTCACTGGCAGTGTGGGAGCAATTTGAGGGAAGAAAATGACCATGAGGAAGTTGTTGAGGATGGATATCCAATTTACAAAATATGCTGTATAAAAGTGACTGCCAAGGGTAGTGGTGTAACGGATAATAGTTGATTCGTGATCCATACCCCCCACCCCTGTATTTCACCAAAGTTACCCTTTTAGCGCAGCTTGTAAACTGAGAGGTAAAAAAATGTCCATAAAGAGGAGATCGTCTCCTAGGTCTGTGATCAGTTGCCTTGAGTTTTCCTGTAATAGTTTGACATACTCACCTTATGTGTCATGTCTGATTTTACTTCCTGTCTTTGTGTGTTTTTCCCACCTTAGTGATTGTCTGACCCACCCTGAGTGTCTAATCACCCTGCTCTACTTTTGTATTAAGTCTGTGTGTTTCCCCTGTTACAATTTTGTATTGTTTTTCACTGTATTTCTTTGTTATTCAGGCATTAAAAATCTTCCGTACTGGAGCCCATCTCAATACATTCACCAATTCGATTGTAATGAGTTAAATGCATTGTTTAGCAGTTTGTAATACTGTATATATGTATGACCTGCCCTCATAAGCAAAACAAGTACTGTAACCACTGTCTGTCTGTCTCTCCAGTTAGCACTACCTGCCACACTCTTTTGGACAGATTTCTTGAGGAGAACTTCTCAGATCAGCTGTTTCCTCATCCTCTGGACTCAGAGGACGACAGTCAAAGTAAGAGTTATGTACTGATGTGTGACACACACAAACAGAAAACGTCATTACTTGCAATGATAACCTGTATCAGTGTAATGTAAGTAGTCATTCATCTGAGTGAAAGTTGGCTTGAGAAAGGACATTTTGATCATTTTTAGTGCACATACAGCACCTGCAAACTTGAAATCTCCTTAAAGGTCAGGAATGACTGTATTGCCAATTATCCACCTTATTATGATGTTGAGCAAAGCAGCATGCTGATAACAGGAAAACACGTTTTAGGTCATTTGTGATTAAAGGAAGCACAATTTCAGTTTATTTTTGACAGGAATAAAGTAAAAGCGGCTTTCAATGAAATAACGATTTAATAATGTGCCTCATATTTCCGTCCTTTATCCCCAGAGGGATCCCTATGGCTGTTTGCCATATTAGCTGTAGTGGCAGTTTCCTCTCAAACCATCACATGATGTCTTGAACACCCCCCCCCCCCCCCGCAGTAAACCGCAGTATCTTCTCTAATAAAAAGCATCTGGTACATCTACTGTGTACCAGAACATACTGTGTGTTGTGTTGTCTCAGTGAAGGGCGTCATGTATTTACTTTTCAAAGATTTCCTACTCTCAGAAAAACATTTTTTTATGTTGAGGTCATAAAATACATTTCTCATGATCCCAAGAAAACAAACTAAAAATATATTTTTTCATATAACAGAAAGGGGAAACACAAATGTTTGTTCTCTTGCTCATTTTTTGTTGTTCTTGTTGTAGTTAGTCAAGATTTAGTCTGTTAAATAATCATGTTTTTAGATGTAATCATTGTTAAATAATCATGTTTTTGTACATCAAATCATTTTACAACAAGCAGTATTGGTCAAAATAATATTTGGAATTCGTCAAAATTAGAAAATAAAGTAAACAGAAGGAGTAAATATACATTTCTGGCAGCTGTACTTGACACATGGCTGACTTCTTTTTTCCCACTCTTTGAATAAAAGACAAAAAATTCCCCTTTTATTAACCATTAATCACTGCGATTTTATTTTTCGTGTTTAGTAAATCCCCCACATCTTTGAATATTTACCCAAACAAACACTAAGTTATAAGCTTCTCTCTGGTCTTTCTGTGTTTCAGGTACCTCCTGTGATTTTGAGTCACTGTGCCTCTGGACTTTATCAAATCACAGCGACCAAAGTGACTGGTCAGTGGTGTCGCCACAGCAACCAGAAAGCACTCAGACTGGGATGATGCCAGTGACGGATCACTCGGCAGGAAGCTCTGACGGTAACAGTGCACAAGAGCCACATAGGAATACCATTAAATGAGTGCTTCAGGATACTGAAGCTCATGCCTTTTTTCTTCTATGAAACATATTTAGCGGATAGATAATCCAGTGATGGATCTTTGGTCTTAATCAAAGCTCATTTGAATCTGAGCATCTCATCTTGTGCTTGATATATCCAATGTCTATTCGGAGATTTGTCCTAATGTTAACGCATTCGTCAATTAATTTATAGGAGTGACAGTATTAGGGGGCTGCTATAAAACTGTCATGCATGAAATACTACTACTGTCTACTCTGTTTTATCACTCTAGGGCACTTCCTTCTCCTAAGCTCCTCCCCTACCGCCGAGGCCTCTGGGAGATGCAAGTACCACTTAAGCAGCCCGGTCTTGCCAGGAAACGACAGGCACTGCACCTTGCAGGTGGCTCTGTATGAGTCCGGTCCAGCGGTGGGGAACCTCACGCTCCTGATCAAGCCAATCCACTCAGACTCAGCTGTTCTCTCTGTGGATCTCAACCACAGGAGACCTGATGAACGCAGGTCAGCAAACACACTCGGAGAAAGCTCTCCATACCTCTACAATGCCGTTTGTGCAGAATAGATATTTATTTATTATGCTGCACTGCACGTCCATATAATTAGTGTCAAAAAGAAAAACCCTGCATCTTTACTGATTGAAGTGCTTGTCAAGTTGAGGTCCAGCCTATGAAATAAATACGAGCGGGAGCTTAGATTCACTGCAATGAAAGGTGACGCAGGCCTTCAGACAGAGCAAGGTCACAGGAACCTATTTCTTTTACTTAGAGCTAAAGTTAAATAAAGAAAATGTTCCTCAGCTGTCATGTGGGACAACTGCAGAATTGTGACCGTGTGGGGACAGCGGCCCCTTGTCTATTGTTTGGGAAATGGGCACAGGTATTTCCTATTGATCTAATGCTGAAGTACAACCGTCTTTAGAGCAGCTAAAAGCATTCATGTGTCTAGATGCAGACTCTGGAAATGAATTTATATATAATTGGTTAGGACAGAAGAGAAATGGATGAGCATGGTTGTGCATTGGCTTTGTTAGTGTCCGTGCAATAATGGACTGAGGAATTCCATTATTAGGCACACAGAGAGTGGTTTCATTTATTCAGCCCACTATTCATTATATGCTTACCTATAGATGTAATTTCTAGACGCACTCTCCGTTTAAAACACAGTTCCCATCTGATGTGACAAAACCTTTACTGTGTTGCTGTGTGTACCGTGGCTGTACTGACTGTACCTTTTCCCTGCTAAACAAAGGCTTAATTGGCCCGGCTGGAGATTACCCTTAGATTATAAGCATTATATTTATTCTAATTTATGTTCCCGACAGTGAAACATCACCCACTCAACTAAATGTACAGTTTGTTTTAAGCTGTGACACCATGGGTCTATTTTTAGAGATGGGCTCAGAGAGATGGAGGGTCATGTTATGAGATAAGAAAAGAGTAAAATCTTCAGTGGAGCTGTACTCTATGATGGTCGCTGTAGTCACAATGTTGCAAGTGCAGAACTGCTGTATGCAGCCCAGCTTTGCACAAGTTTGGACAAAAACAACAACAACATATCAAGGTGAGATGGATTGTACTGTGTACAGGTACCCTGTGGTGCTTTTGACCAGTTGATACATGTTTTGATGAGCTCTCTTTTTTTGTAAATTGTAGTTGATGTGCACAAGGATGCAGTTAGTGAACATGCCACAATTATGGGAGTGTTGTTGTAGACATTTCTTCTGCCTGGCAGCAAATGGACAGTTGTGGCGATATTGTGCCCTAAAAGGCAAAAACGGCAAAAGAAGCAGGTCGCAAACTGATATACAATGCAGCTTTCAAAAATGTTGTGCAAACTGAAAAATATTCAACATGTTTGCTAGGCCTTCATAGCGAAAAATGGGATTGACTGATCTTGAAGACAGCAGAGGTTTTAAGTGGGACAAAAAATATTTCTAGAGTGTTTCATATGATATGCTGACTTTGGACGGAGAGGTGTTAATTAGTTTCAATGGATGTGAAGGAAACAAAGTCACCACAGCTTTTTTCAATATTGTTTGTTACTGCTAAGGCCTGCTTGGCTGCTTCACCAAAAATGCTGTGATATTTATAACATAAACATAATTAAATAAATATTTTAACATCAGGTTTGTCATTACTGGCATATTATATATACTGTATATAAATTGTATATATATATATATGTGTATATGTATATATAATCAAATTAATATATTATATATGTGTGTGTATATGTGTATATATATATATATATATATTTTAGTGCTGGGCAAGTTAACGCGTTAATTTCGCGTTAACGCATTTTTTAAATTTATTATGATTTCTTTTTTTTCTTTTTTTTTATTGAAAGACAAGAGACAATACATATACATAACAACAAGAGGATGACAAGAACAGTGGGATAAAAGCCAGCAAACATCCTATAGTCAGTCATTTTAGTGCACCTATATGCTGAAATTCAGGTAAACGCATTTAAACGGCACAGATCGGGAGCGAGCGAAGGACTTTGAAAGTTAGCGGAAAGATTAACGTGAGACAACATCCGGTTTCTTCATACGAACATCCGGTTTTCAGAATAAGATGCCAACAAAGCATGAATTATATTCACATTAAGTATAAAACATGCTACCTGCATCTCGTGAACCAAATGTTATTGCCCTTTTGTTCATATAGCTGTACTTTTAAAATAAAAGTGCGCAATACACTACTTTTGAATTCATTATTGAACTTTGCTATAACAATGCGATTAATCGCGATTAAATATTTTAATCGTTGCCCAGCACTAATATATTTAGTTATTTATTTGCACACATATTTATATAATGGGCCTCATATTAAGCTTTATTGCCTTTAATTGCTGATTGCAAGGATTGTTTTTAATGCGGTATCTTGAAAGATATCCAAACACGCCAATGATAAAAGAAGGAAGTTGTGAATTCTTTCACTTGACTTCAAAATAAATTTCTCTATGATTGGCTGATCTAGGGCTGACTGGGAGGTCCTGGAGACTGTGATTGGTCAGGTGGACGAGCCCTTTCAGGTGATTCTGCTCTACACTTCCTGTTTGAGGGACGATGGAGGCACCTTGGCTCTGGACTCTCTGGAGCTCGTAGACTGTGAATCAGGTGCGTTCATCATGTTCTATAAAGCGTTAATTTACTGCTTTCAGATGAGTGGTGCGAACGTCAGGGAGCACACTGACACACGCATGAGGCATATTACTGTACGATCGCTGTCACACACTTCATGAACTGACAAAGTACACAGAGTTGTAAACACGCACAGCATTTTTATAACTTACCAATCAACGAAAATACCTGCGCTGACTTGCTTATATACATGGCCTTAAAAACAGCTCAATAAGGTTGTTTCCTGAACAGACTTCACGATCAACAAATTAATTTATTAGTAGTTAAGCATTCCAAATCATTCTAAATCACATGGCTGCTTTCAAAAAACCCTGTGGTTGGTTCATTTGCTTTTTAGGCTGAGTTTTGTACCAATTGAACTAATGAGATATGTGTTAATTAGTGAGCTTAAGAGGTAGTTGTCATATTTTCTTCCCTTTGGGCAGAGTCAGGCTAGCTGTTCCCCCTTGATCCCAGTATTTGAGCTAAGTTAAGCTAACTGGCTATAGCTCATATTTATTGGATGGATATGAAAGTGGTGTTCATCTTGATTCTTCTCATTTAACCCTCAAGATAAAAGCGAATAAGCGTATTTACTCAAATGTCCAACTAATCCTTTAAAGAAACAAACATTCACAACTTCAGAGTTAAATGGCTAAATATCCTTACTTCTCCGTGATGTGTAGTATTGCTGTATAATTGTTGTGTGGTTGCTGGGATGCAGAACACCAGGTCATCGGACTGGAAGCGGCTTGTGGGGAATCTTTCCACTGTGAAAATTCGGGAGGATGTATCGACCAGAGCCAAGTGTGCAACTTCCACACCGACTGTCCTTTAGGGGAGGACGAGGGCTTCATCTGTGGTGAGATTTTGTTAAATCACAGCATGCATGAGTAGGGTGCTGTTTGGAGGGAAACCGTGGCCTTCAATTTCTATTAGTAGCACTTGAAAAGGCACTTATGCGGTTTCCCCTTGTGTGATGACAAAACGTTTTTAAATGGATTTTTATCTGCACCATTGGACTGATTGGGAGAGTAGGATTGTGAAAACAACATTCAAAAGTAAAAGATGTGTCTGTGTGAGTGCTTTAGTTTGTGTGATTGTGGGTGAAGAGTTAAGGAAGGCCAGCATACAGTACCAGAGTCATAAACCAGAATATGGGGCTGTATTTTAGCATTAGTTATATTTAGGTTTAAATTCAGGAACATTTTTTAATCTTTTGACCGGAGGAACCAGATTATTCCATGCCCCGGGCTTGTTTGTTTTTTTAGCTGGAAATTATTTTATTGTATTAAGTTGAAATCATGTCATACCTGTGGTGGATTTTTGGGTGTTATGAAATCCAAGATTTGAAAAAGAGTTTTTTATTAATTTCTTTTAGTAATTTCCCCCCACTTGATAGCTTTGTTCTTATCTCAAAAAACAGCAATCATTCGGCACAGAGAAACACTTCGCCACAGTGAGAATCAAAAGGCCTCGTTTTAGTCAGTAATGAACTCAATGGTAGTCAGGGCTGTTTGGAGTTGTGGGGGAGAGGAGGTTGGTCACAGTGGTGGTGTAATTGTATTTAATTAAACAAACTTCAAGAAACACAAAACAACAGAAAACCTCGCTCAGTCCAGAGCTCTATCGCCAAACTAGAAAATATATACTATTTCAGCCTGCCACTCAGCCCCTTACAGATGCTAAACAAGCATATTCCCTGGTCTGGGAGAGGTCAGGACACCATTACCTGCAGATACAGTGTAACATGCATCATAAAGTACAGACACTATAAAGTGTGGAGAAACATGGCCAATTGCGCAGACAAACACATTAAATCATGGAACCCCTCTTTTTGAAGTTTGAGTGCTTAGCTGGTTTCTCCAAAATGAAATTCTTGCTTTGAGAAAAGAGGGATCAAGGGAAAATATGGATTATTTTAGCAGCTGTGATCTCTGTTTATGTGAAATATGATTACAGTGTTCCTCCTCCCCAGGTGCTCTTCCATTCGGCTCTCACTGTTCATTTGAACAGGGTGCATGTGGTTGGTCTGCGTCCAACCAGCACTCGGCCTGGAGAAGAGTAGCTGGAGACGACCTTCTGGAGAAAGAGGACATGCAGGGTGTCACTCTGCAGAGAACACCAGGTTGGCTGTGTGTGTGCGTGTGTGTGTGTGTGTGTGTGTGTGTGTGTGTGTGTGTGTGTGTGTGTGTGTGTGAGTGAGAGAGAGAAATGGGCATATTATCCTGATTTAATTTCTATTCGTCAGGTGAATTTCGTCCTATTCTGATAAATGACTGTGATGTGTATGGATGGAGGTTAATAACTCAAAAATGTTCTCAAACAGGCTTTTCTTTCCTATTTGTTTACTTATTTATGTATGTATGTATTTGTTGTTGATTGTTGTAGACCCATATAATAATAGGAATGCCTTGTTAGATTACTACCATATGAAGTTCCACCGCATGAAGAGTTCATATGGATTATTTAAAATCCAGCTGCAGAACATATTTGTGCTAAGAGGGCAGAATATAGGCCATTTAATAATATGTAACAGCTGCTCTCAATCAATTTAAAAAGCTTTTTATTTTATAGGTGGATGGTTTTCGTCGAGCAACAAAACATGTTACTGTCTGGCTTTAAAGAATAGAATAACATTCCAAACTATTACTGTATCTCTGATGCCCATTATTTTGATACGTCTGTTTCATGAGCTGGTTAGCGTTGTGCTGTGTCACATTTATTGTGCGCCCCCAGGGCACTTCCTGTTTCTGCAGGTAAGAGAGAGCAATTCCCTCCGAGAGGCATCCATTCAGAGCTCGTCTTTTTCTCCCCCAGTCTCTACTACTGCATGTCAGGTCAGTTATCTACACGTTTTACCAGTTGTGTTGATATAATTGTGTTACCTTCTACTTGGGAGACTGCTCTTTGGCAGCAAAAGACTTGGTCAATATACTAACTCCTTGCTGAAATGGTGTCTGTTTTCCCATACAGATGCGTTTCTCTCTGTACCTTCATGGGGACTTTAATGGTACATTGCTGGTGGCTATAGAGGAGAATGGGACGACAACCGCTCCACTGGTCTGGGAGAGAAATGATCAGTGGACAGACGACTGGGAAGATGTTGCCCTGCAGCTGACTGGCCTTCATCATGGGTGCGTGAAGTGAAATAAAAAAAAAAGGGTAGAGACGCAGATGATTATGTAACACTGTCATGCTGGAGCAAACAACCCAGGCATGTTCTCCTGTGTATATAAAGGTTACCTCTACCATTCAACTGTACCCACCTCTTTTTCCTCGCCATTCAAAAACAGACCTTTATTCACAAAATCTGTGCTTTAGATTGAAGATGAGAAAGAGGAAAATTGCTGCTTTCATCTAAAGAATTTTTAATCATTGTCAAGATTTTAGTTATTATTCACTATAAACTGTTGTACATGTATTGGGATTGAATTTCCGTTGCCTTTCACATAAAGACAAAAACTGTGATTCTCTAAATTCACAAATGGCATGCGCTTTGCTCCAGGTTCCACGTTAAGGTGACAGCTGTGTGGGCAAAAGGCTCTAATGCCGATGTTGCTCTCGATGACATTGCAATTGGAGCTGCCTGCTTCGACACAGGTAAGCTGTTGCTAACATGCCATTCTAAAATGTTACAGACCGTAAGATAAATGGTACACTTAATTGTAGTCCAGCATATTTGTGGCAATAACTATGTAAAACCAAATACCAAAAATAAAGTTATATTTAGTTTAAGACAAAGAGTCGCCTTCACCAGGGGAAGTAAACATTCAGTTACTACTGGTTTCTCTTTCATAAAGTCAGTCTGTAACATTTGAATGAAGACATATCACTGTATGTCTCATGCTGCACCAATGGAAGGTTAAATTCATGAAAAATAAAATGCAAGTTTGGCTCTTACAGTCATACTTGGAGTGCCATATATAAAACATTCTCACAATAACGTGACAGGACGTTTAAACAACCTCTTTTTGCTCTATTCAAATGTTCCCAATGTGAATTGTATTACTAAACATGTTACTAGAAAACAGATGTGAAATTTGACTGTTTTGTGTGTGTGTGTGAATCAAGGGTAGGGTCAGTGTTAACAGCGGTATATCGCCCCCAGAGAAACTTTAGTAAGCCATCACTTAGCTTAATGTTTCTCCCTATGTCATTGTTGACCGCTCTCTGGGATCTTGTCGTGCAAGAGAGGCTTGTATGCTTTTATAGTGTTGAAACAAGACCAAGGAGACTGTTGTTGCAAAAGTAAAATGGGGGTTGGACAAATTGCAAACAGCACTATCCTGTAAAATCTGTAACTTTTATTTTGTGAAAACATGGAAATGAACAAAATTCACCATTTGGATGCTAGATAGTGGATGAAGAGGGCTGATGGAGAAATGTTTTCATGATGTTTCCTGCTCAGAAATCATTCCCAGGAAATGGGTCCATGTTCATCCAAAATACACATCTTTGAATTGTTCTCATATCCTCTGATCAGTGTTGCTTCCTGTCTGATTTTGATTTATGCTTCAGTGAGATGCACATGTTTGACTGTGACTCATTGTCTCTCTTTCTCCCCGCACCTTCTCTGGCCTCCTGCTTCTCCTCAGATCTGAACTCGCTCCTGCCCATGGCTCACTTGGAGGATTTCTTAAGCCCCCTTCCAGAGCCTTCAGCCTCAGGTACCTTGTGGATTTCCAAAGCCTCCCTCATCTACCATGTGATGTTTAATGCAGCATGCAGAATTTACATACCAAGTGGTGGATTGTACTCTCGCAATTTTCCCCTCGATGCTTGAATGTTTACCAGATATGATATGTACCATATCAGCTGACCAGAAGCTTTTATTCCACAGTGCACACATACCAGGTGGTTAAAACAAGTTCAATTGACTCCTATATGTGGTGCTTGTGTTTGTTTCTCTTCTTCAATGTTCAACTGTTTATCTTAGTCTCACATAGTTCGGTCCAATTTTTCCTGTTGTTTTGTTATTTCTTTTCAAATGAATACACAGCTCCTTAATTTAACCGATTCACCAGCTCATGACAGTGTGTCTTTCCTTTGTCTCCATTTTTCTAGAGGTTTCTTTGATGACATGGTGGTTTAACTCATGTGGTGCCAGTGGTCCCCACGGCCCAACCCAGGCCCAGTGTGACAGTACCTACAGGAACAAAAATGTCAGTGTTACAGTGGGGAAGGAAGATCCCCGGAAAGGAGTCCAAATGTGGAGGGTTCCTGCTACTAACCGATACCTGTAAGTGAGGGGATGGTTTAATGCTACCTGAGCTTTAAGGTCGAAGGTCAGTTATTTGTTCAAGTGTTAGTCTGGGGATAATCTATATTTTTCTTACTGTCAACAAATCACATTAAACGACCAAAGCCGACACAAATATTGCTTGTGGGGTCAAAGCCTGACATGGTGTTATGCTGTAGACCTTTATTGTTGTCCACAAACACAGAACACAGGAATGAGCCACACAGTTGCACTCTCTTATATTTTCTTACATTACGGTGAAGCCACCCTAGTTTATCAATGTCAATCCACACACGCTGGCTTGCTGCTGTAAATACTCGGTAGGGTACAAAACCTGCAGCTGAAAAGTTTCCAGGTAACGCAGTGCCCAGGTGTTATAGGGGTTTACCAAGCCTTTTTTGTTTGTGACCCATTTATAGAAAAAAAAATTAAAATGTACAACTAGTGAACTTGAGGGTGAGAGTCACACGATAAGCGTTGTCGGTTTTGGGGCGATTGTGGCTAAGTAGCAGGGCTGTCTTTCAATCAGAGGGTCGGCGGTTCGAGCTCCGGCTCCGCTAGTCGCATGTCGATGTGTCCTTGAGCAAGACACTTAACCCCAAAATTGCTCCCGTAGTTGTGCCTACGGTGTAGAAATGTGATGGACTCAGAATTGTAAGTCGCTTTGGATAAAAGCGTCTGCTAAATGACTGTAATGTAATGTAATGGTCTTTTCATGAGTTTTTGAAAATAACTAAAATCTAGCCAGACTTGTCCTGTAAGAACAATGATGTTTACACTCTTTCATTGTTAGTGTCATTCATAGTTCATTTTAGGAGCTTGGTCATTGAAGAGACAAGCGAGGCTCTGCGACAATTCGGTGGTGTGTCTGCCTACGTGCTTGGCATCTAAATTGTTCTGGCCATGCTCAGTGTAACTGATTGTTGTCCTGCCAGATCAGAACTTCAAGCAATTTGATTGTCTTTGCACAGCAAGTCATGGGAGTTCATCATCACACTCACGACACAAAATGAGGGAACAGAAAAGTGTCAGGATTAAGCATAGGATTTAGAGGGTGTTGAATTACTTCAGCTAGACTACACACAGCTTGCTTCATGCCAATATCAACACAGTGTGTCTGTTTGTAAGAGGTAATCTTTATAAAACAACAGGTGACTGTGTTTCCTAATTTGTGTGCTTTAACTGACGTGTATTGCAGTCTATCCATCTAGTGTGTAGTATACTATGGAACCTGAGCCAGAAAGCAATTTTCTTCAGTCCCTGTAGTTAAACCCCTTGTGGTTCAATGATATCCTTTAGGATCTCTGCTTACGGGGCTGGAGGAGGGAAAGGAGCCAAAAACCACAACAAACGCAACCACGGCGTCTTCATATCTGCCATATTTCCTCTGGAGAAAGGAGATATACTTTACATCTTGGTGGGCCACCAGGGAGAGGATGCGTGCCCTGGGGTATGTAGGGTGCACTCAAGTTCACGCTGGAAGGGATTTTTGAAGTTACCCTCTGGGATATCTTTTGCCTGCTCGATTCATACATTTGTGAAGACAGCTTCTTTCTCTGAAACTCAAATCTCCCGTTCCCCCGTGGTGTAGAGAAATCCCCACACCCAGAGGATCTGCTTGGGAGAGTCGTCAGTGATTGAAGACAAACTCGGGGGAGAGACCGGTGCAGAGTGGGCTGGGGGAGGAGGCGGAGGAGGGGGAGCCACCCACATCTTTAAGGTGAAAGAAGATGGCTGTTTCAGTATTGTGTGTTCTTTCTGCGGGTTTGTTTGATACCTTGTGAGGATTAAGTGTACAGTTCATTGATAGGCATCAAAAATGTCTGTAGGCACATTGAAACAGTTCAGCAGTGTCTCACTAATCCACAGGTTTAAATATATGTAGATTGGAAATACACTAGTGGTTGGAAAGCTGTTTTATCATAAAATTGGAACAAGAACAATGTTCTTGTTCCTGTTATGATGATCTCCCATCTGTAGTAAATTGTGGGTTTCCTGGGTGTCATGTGCAATTTGCTTTACTGCTGAGATGCTTTTTCTAAACTCCCTTTTTGCAGATGATTGTTTAGCTGTAACTGTTCTCATGTGCACCACCGAGCATGCACATAGTTGTAAATGCCTGACATGAGTGAGCTTTATGGTGATGCTGTCTTGTCAGATGGAGGGAGGTGAGCTGGTTCCCTTGCTGATTGCGGCTGGTGGAGGAGGAAATGCTTACCTGGAGGACCCAGAGTCCAGTCTGGACCAGATACCACTGGAGCAGTATGAAAACAGCACCATAGCTCCCAGCACCAACGGTCAAACTGGTGCTGCAGGTACTATATTATAGGCCATCCTACTACCAGTGCAATATACTGTTTGTTTAAAGGGTTGACACAACCAAACTACAAAAAAAGACTGAATGGAATTTGTATTTGTGGTGCTCACAACGTTGAAATAAGGACATTTTACTGAGCTTTGTAATGAAATGGGCCTTACGATCAGCAAGAATTTAACATTTCTGAAAAAAAAATGCATAACAAAGGTGATGACTAACTTGTCAAATCAGAATATTTTTTTAAACCCTAAAATCACTGTGACATGATGAAGGATCGCAGGTTGAGAGAGTGCTGTGAGCCTCAAAGGACGGTTGATTTCTGACAAAGCCAGACATGTTGAAGGCCACGAGAGGATTTGTTTGTTCTCACACGCACACTTGAAGCAGCACACGTTGGCATGCATGCTCTCCCACAGCAGGATGTGTTTGGCCTGTGGATTTTTTAGTTTCCTGACAGGTTGTAGCGAGACATACTGTATATGGTAGAGAGGTCTCTCTTTGCTCTTGGAAATGTCTGCTGGAACGTTCTCAGTAAATCCTCTCTGACCGACAAAGTCTCAACACAGACCGTCCATCAGCTCATCTTATTGAAACCTCTGTGTGTTTGTTTAGATAGAGATCTGAGTGTCAGGAGAAATATGCAGCTCTTAGTAGTGTGTGGATGTGGTTGTGCATTTGTGTGTGTGTGTGGTGGAGCTGTGTGTTGAACTGGTGAAACGGGTCATCCTGCCATCACACATTATCATGCATTGGATTGCAGAATTTGTTAAGGCTCCTGCTGGACATGTGACTTTTTTTTTTTCCCCCATCTGCGTTGATTAGAGGCCTTGACCAGCTGGTGGATGAGCCTGCCGACTCTTTAGATGATTATTCATCAAGGGTTTCTGTTCAAAAAGTGTGTGGCTGCAAGTGGCTTCACTTTGGATGGTGTAATGTAATAAACAAAAGGCAAAGCAACAAGAACTTTTGTTTCTTGGGAACCTTTTTTACTGCCTGTCAAAAAGACACACCACAACAAAGCAAAAACAGAACATGAACTTTTTGCTGACTGTCTCCTCGGGTTTCCATGCTGTTTATCTCCAATGCTTTACTCAAATCCGCAGCTGGAGGTCTTCCCACCCTGTCAATCTTAATCTCAACAAGACTGAGCTCTTTCCTTGGAAAATCTTGCCTTCCTTATATTTATTGTCCAAGGGGCCAATACTACTATACTACTAAGACTTCAAACAAATACCAGATGCTTCCAATGCCAAAATCTTGTCCCGTTGCCTACAGATTCTGCATTCATATGCACATATCTGTTTGAGATTACAGCTGACGAGAGCCAATGACATTGCAATGGCAACGGTCAGCCACTGTGCGCTCAGGAGGAGCGCAAGTCTATATATTTTACTCAAGTGATGTCACCGGCGTATCGTAGCTTGTCTTGTTGACAACAAATTTATAGTGTTCTGTCGCTACTTCATCGGCCAAAAAAGTGCTCAAATAACAAAGGAAGAATATTATTTATTTCACCAATGTGTTTGAGCAAGGCTTTCATCGGGGTTATATAGAGAATGTGTAAAAAAAAAAAAAAACACAGTTTATATACAGTATAGTCTACAAGGAGGCTGAATCTTAGCTAGATATATACATAGCCAGCCTTCAAAGGATGCTGCACCTCCAGCACGAGAAAATGAAACGGGCAAAAATAATATTGCAGTCACGAAAATTAACGGTAGAATTTAAAAGATTTTCCTTTTCTCCTTGGCTCTAACCATATTTTTTTCCCTTACAAAATATATATATAAATAATACCGTGTAATGTTGTGCTTGTTTGGTGTTTGTGTCCCTGAAGGTGGAGGTGGAGGCTGGAAAGACAGTATCGGTCCCCACCTGGAGGCGGGAAAGTCTCTGGTGGAGGGTGCTGAGGGGGGGTCCTCGTGTTCCCTCGCCCTGTCCAAGCTCAGTTGGTCAACCTTTGGGGGATTTGGAGGTGGAGGTGGGGCCTGCACAGCTGGAGGCGGTGGAGGAGGTTACAGAGGTAACATCATCCTTTCCGCTACCCTCAAACGACATTGCTTTTCTATTTCTAACTCCTGCACTTAAAACCCAAATCACGTTTATGTCTATTCTTCTGTCTCGCTGCCTCTTGACATTTCATCCCAGGCACGCCTATACACCTTAAAGAATATTGGCATAACTTTCTCTTTAAGAGACAGTTGATGCATGCTTCAGTTTAAAGCATAACATCTGCCTGTCTGGTTGCTATCAACAGTCGACTCGTAACTGAAATGACACAACTGAACAGCTAAATCACTCCAATCGTATCTCACAATCTTTCCGCTTGCGTGCCGTGTAACATGGTGGTTTTTTTGTCAAAAATAAACTGTCAAAAGTGGCAACAAAATGACAAGCATGACCTGTCATAATTTGGTCAGAATGGTTTTGACATTATTTGTAATACTGACCGATAGGAGAGTAAACAACATACATTTTGTGACAGGAGGTGACGCTGCGCTGACAGATGAGATCACAGCCGACGGTGAGAATGGAATCTCATTCATTCATCCGACGGGAGAGATTTTCCTTCAGCCTCTGGCAGGTGAGACTGACATCATACGATCATTTTATCGAGACAATGATGCTGATAAATTCAATAATGACTCAGCCAGAATGGAGTAGTGAAAATAGAGGAGGATTAGAGGGAGTAGAGGAGAGAAAAGAGAGCAAATGTCATCTCCTGATGAAGACTGTGATATGCAGTTGAAAGCATAAAAATGCTATTGAATTACGAATTACGAGTAGAGTTTACTAGACTAGATCAGAGTAGAACATAATTTAATAAAGTGGAGTAGAGAGCAAACTCCTTCTGCTAATAAAGACCATGAGATGCAGTAATAGAATAGAGACCTGAGACAGAATACACCATCTACAGATGAAGACAATATGATGTGATTTAAAGCCCGCCAAAAAAACTCTGCACATTGAGTTGCGAATGTTTTGACAAACTACAATAGAGAAGAGTAGAAATCAACATAAAACTGAGAAAATAAATAGATGAATAGAAAAAAGACAATAAAATGACAAGGAAGAACAACAACAATGACAAATATAGACAAAGAAATTACTTTGACATGAAGCCAGGAAAAGACATCACATTTGAAAATTGATGTGTTTTGTTATATTCGCACTATTAAAAAAATAGATACTGAAAAATGTTTTAGACGGCAGTTAATTATCCCCATGCATCTTGTTTTTGCCGTAGTAATATGAAAACTCAAGGACATCTTTGGAGTTACGGTATGTGTGTGTGTGTGTGTCTGAACACTCAGGCCTTCACGCTCGCACATGCTATATATAGCGGTGTTTTGTTTGTGAGACTACCATCTGATTCTCATTATTCGGCGGGAGCAGGCGGAAGGCAGTTGGTTAATTCACAGCCTCATGGAGCTTGTTGCCTTTGGCTCCAGCAGACAGCGCTCCATTCTCATGTGAAAGACGCTGTTGTTGTTGCTCTGTGTGCTGCCAGTCGAAGCTTTCAAACACAGTGGCTGCCTCAGCAGGGTTCAAACATGAAATGTATTCAAAGCGAGATCTCAACAATGATATTAAAGATCAAATGTTATTATTGAATTTTCTCTAATGTAATCATCTTGTCTTGAAGTGATGGATGAGGTTATGACACACATATTCTCCTTGTATTCATCATTTGTATCAAGACTCAACATTAGAGGTCAGAGGTTAGAGTTGAGAGTAATTTAATAATGGAAAACTTTTATTACAAGCACATATCGGGTTTTACACAAATACAGACATAATTACACATGTAAAGACACATGTACTGTGTTTAGAGATCAAAGTACAATACTGGTGACATTCTGTATTTTTCAACAACTCTTATAAAAACACCAAAACCAACAGTGTGTTAGTCCATCTCCTCACTTTAACCAACCCCAACCCCTCTCAGCCCTGACCCCATTTGTTCCTGCTGAAGATGTTTTTATATATATATATATATATATATATATATATATATATATATATATAT